TTTACTTTTTGAAAATCTTAAATTTCCTACTTATTTAATTGAGCATTTGATTGTTGCTAATTAAAATTACAGTAACAATTTACAGTACAATTTTCTTTTTCAAAATTATCAAATATAATTTAGATTTTGGATGGTAGTCCATCCGGACAACCAGTACAATACGGTATGATCGGACAACCGGTATATCATAAATGGACATGCGATACGGAAACTGTTGATACATTTTGTGCATTAGTTCATTCCTGTTATGTTGATGATGGTAATGGTGATAGCATTAATTTAATCAATGAAGAAGGATGTGCTTTAGATAAATATCTCATGAATAATTTAGAATATCCAACTGGTATGATCTTTTTTTTTTAAATTTTTGAAGAAATTTTTAAATCTATTAAAATATTTATAAACTTTTAAACTTACACTCATTTTAAAAACTTTCGAGAAATCATTTAATTGTAAATTTAATTTTAATTAATATTTTTAAAAGTTAAATTTTTAATTTCAGATCTAATGGCTGGACAAGAAGCGCATGTTTATAAATATGCTGATCGTTCACAACTCTTTTATCAATGTCAAATAACAATACAAATAAAAGAGCCAAATGGTGAATGTATTCGACCACAATGCTCTGAACCACAAGGTTTTGGTGCTACTCAGCGACAAGCTGTAGAACGATCATCTAGGAAACAACGTGACATAAGCGCCTGGTATGATCCAATTAATACAATGGATGTAAGAACTGAAATAAGCGCTCTAGAAATTATGGATGAAAATGTAAGTAATCATTTCTAAATTAATCGCATAAATTAAGCTTAACATTTATAACAAATATGGATTAAGATATGACATATTATTTATATGCATAAAATATAATTAATTAATTTTGAATTTAATATCAAGTATTGATTGCTTATTCATTATTATATAATGTTAAGTAGTGATTACTTATTCCATGCATCACTTTTTTTTTAAAAAAAAAAAATTCCGATATATATCATTTCTTTTATAACTTTTTAAATTTTAATTGTCTGAATAATTTGTTTATAATTTTAATCATTATTTCCCTTGTAACCTTAAAATTAATTAAATTACAAAAAAATTTTTATATTAATATATTATTCAAACTTGCCGGAAATAATTGAAATACCTAAATAAAATTAAATTAATTTAGGATGGCAATATACCTCTGCTTAATCTGAAACAAAATCATAATGAATTAATGGATTTATCACCGATACATATTGCATTTAATCCAACAGGTTTATGCTTATCAAATGGCACATTCGTTGCGGTAATTGCTATGTGTGGAACATTATTATGTACTATTTTCATCATTATTATTTTCTTTTTCCGATCAAAACAATCAAAATTATAATGCAAAAAAAAAAGAATTCATTAATTTATCAAATAATCACAGCATTATTTAAAAAAAAAAAACAAATTTTTTGAATACAATGTTAGAATAGTATGAAATTTATTACATGAAAAGGTTATTTTTTTTAATCAATTACACGATTATCATGTATATATTACTTGAATAAAATAAACTAATTACAAATTATTTTAATAAGATTTATAAATTTATATATTTAATGCATTTCAAACTCTCAACAACTTTTCATAAAAGATATTTTAGATATCTATTTAGATATTTAATATCTATTTTAGATATCTAAAAGATATTTTAGAATATATGCTGAAATTTTTGAATTTAAGTTTTTTTCGAATGAAAAATATTTGACCTTTTTTTTAAGCTTTCACATTAAATAAATTTCATAGAAATTTTATATTCATTGAGTATTATTGAATTGATTAGTAATTTCTTATATTTTTCCTTTCTTTTCCATTTTGAGTTCTTTTTGAAATTACTGATAGCATATTCGAAAAAAGTGATATAATTATCACTGTTATATTATTATCAACAGCACCATAATTTTGACTGTTTCTTATTTTTTAAATATTATTATCTATTCGAAATTTCTTTTTTCTTTCCAACTCTAACAAGCACAAATAATTTTACCGTTT